GGGGGGGTTGAGGGGGGGAAGAGGACTCTACCCTGTCTCGAATGCTCAATTCATTCAAACTGAGCCCCACCCCCTTCCCCCCTCCCCCCCCCCGTCCCTCCCCCTCTCCCCACCCCGCCCCTAGAGAATTCATATAGAAGATCGGACCCTCCCCCCAAAACATGAAACATAGTTCCAGATTTCATAACGTTTCGGTCAAAACTGTCGGTCAAACGTTTCGGTCAAAACGTTATTGGGACCCAAACCCTATACAATTTCTATAAACCCTAAAAACCCTAAACCCGAAACCCTACTAAAACCCTAAACCCTAAACCCTAAACCCTATGTAGAGTCGAGCTTTCCGAAGCCCGCAACCTTCTTCTTGACGCTGCTCGTGTCGGTCGCTCGCCATGGTTCGGCCGATGCCGCCGCAAAGGCAGGGATGGCATCCGCGGCTGCCTGAGAACGTGTAATATTGGGGGTCGGAATGGGGTTTAGGGTTTAGGGTTTAGGGTTTAGGGTTTAGGGTTATAATCCCTTTATGATTATACTAGAATGACCCCAAAAATCTTTTCAGACCCCGATATTCGGCTCGGTGGGCAAGCATTAGGGTTCCTGAACGCTAAAATCGAACCTTGCAAAAACCTTCGACTGCAATTGCGAAAACACATGGCAATACCTTTACTTCAACTACGACGACGACTACAACTAAAACAACTACATCAACAACAATAGTCATCGAACCCTCGTATTAACAATGGGCAGGAGCCATAGCAACCGCACACATCCTACAAGCAACCTTTGACAGTTCCATGCTAGAAAGGTCCTGGCGATCCCGCCCGTGCTCAGTCATTCAGCAACAGAGAAGCATGTTCTCGCAAAAAGGAATTTGATCTTGCTATCTAACCAAGTAATCAAGTGAAGTTGCCCAAGCTTTGTCTCATGTTCACCCCCCGATTAAACCGCGCGCTGTGCCAGATCTGCGCGCTCGTTGAGAAGTAGTGTGAGTTCAGCAGCCTCAACCCAAGATCCTCAAAACAGGACCACCCAGAGCCCTCCAAAAAGTAGCGATCCCTCAGTCAGCTTTTCTCTAAGAAACAAAAGCTCTCCAGCTCGGACAAGCAACCCCCGTGGCATCAAGTGGACCACCCAAATGAGGCTCAGACACTCCGAGGGCCCTGATTGTACCGAGCTTACAGTCGGGTTTAGGGTTTAGGGTTTAGGGTTCAGGGTTTAGGGTTTAGGGTTCTTTAAACAAGCCCCAGCACCTCCCCGATTAGTGCGGGCCTTCGGCTCAAGTCAAAAACGATTTTGTGAGGGAATCAAGGGTTTTTCTGTCCAGAAGCCTCGAGCCATGATCCTAAAAACGGGGGCGCACATCAGGAACCCAGACAGCCCCTCAAAAAACAGCGATTCCGCATTGAGGTTTTCTTTAAAATGCCTCAACGCGGCTGCAAGCACAGAAGCATGCGTAAAGGATGGACAGAATCAACATTAGGATCCAAATATCAAAGTCTGGGGAGCAACAAAAAACAAACGGGGGTCAACAAAGCTAAGTTCCAAAACCCCACAGGATCTTGCAAATACTGTCAGTTGCAGATCTACCTATCCGCAGACTCCAAAGACTGAAAGTAAACAGGCCTGTATTGGCGCTATTGCAAACTGGGAGGGCGGTGGGGCTGCGAAGCCATCTTTCAAACGTTGCACTGTTGCAAGTCCCTGCTACCAAGCCAAGCCGTATTTGCAGATTACAAATCGGCGGAAGTGCTACAAGTTAGCTTTTGTTGAGCTTGTGAACAGGAGATCGGAGCAAATACGCAAACATGGAGGCAAAAATGCCGTGCTTTACAATTTCTTCTTGCCTGCCTTCTATAAGGATTTGATTCTTGTTGATCCTTATCTGCTTTGTGGTTATTCCCTAATTGGCTATCTTTTCTTAACGGATCCTTGGCCGAGAAAATGTCCAACGAAAAAGACCCTTTTCTGGGCACAAGCCATAACAAATACCCTTTCTGAATCCATTCCAAGCCTCTACCCACCTATTTGTGGCGTGGGGGTTTGGGGGGGGGTTGGGGGGGTTGGGGGGGGGGTGGGGGGGGGGGTGGGGGGGGGTTGGGGGGGGGGTGGGGGGGGGGGTTGGGGGGGGTGTTGGGGGGGTGTGGGGGGGGGGGGGGGGGGGGGGGGGTAAGATGGACAAAGATGGACACTTAAAGGCTATGCTGCACGTGCGTGCCTTGTAAACACATACTTTACAAACTCGCAGAATAGACGCAACGGCGCGGAACGCGCGGAGGGCGTGCAGGGCGCGGAGGGCTCGCGGAAGGCGCAGAGGGCGCGGAGGGCGTGGAGGGCGCGGAGGGCGCGGAGGGTGCGGAGGGCGCGGAGGGCGCGGAGGACGCGGAGCGCACGGAGGGCGCGGAGGGCGCGGAGGGTGCGGAGGGCGCGGAGGGTGGGGAGGGCGCGGAGGGCGCGGAGGGCGCGGGAGCGCGCGGAGGGCGTGGGAGCGCGCGGAGGGCGCGGAGGGCGCGAAGGGCGCGAAGCGTGCAGAGGGGCGGAAGGGCGCGGAGGGCGCGGAGGGCGCGGGCTTGCAATTTAAACGCGGAGGGTGCGGAGGGCGCATCCACGTGTCCCCAAATCCCCTGCCCATCAACCGAATGTCACTCTCCCCTTCCGCGCCGAACCCGTCCGTCAACCTCCATGCATGGTCCACGCCTCCCCACACCACGACCCTCTCCAGCAAGATGTTGCGAACCCCCTCCCTTGACCGTGTCGTCTCCGCGGTCCGCGGCCTCCCGTCAAAATTCGTTCCGTCCGACCCTCCAAGAAGCGATCCGATAGAACGCCTTCCGCATTAAAGCGCCAAACGAGAACCCAATTTCAGAATTGGTTTTCGGGAAAAATCAAGAAAACAAAGAGCACACGCAGAATAGACGTTAAGCGTCCAAGGCACGGGGCGGGTGGGGGGGGGTGGGGGGGGGGAATGGCGGGGCGTGGGGGGGGGGGGCGCGGAAAGGGGGCCAAGGAACGGACATAAACTTCTGTTCTTAAACCCTAAACGCTATCTGTCTGGTCGCCCCGACCTCTCGCGGAACGCCCTTCCTTCGGGGCTTCCGCTGCGCTCCACAGGCCAGCGATCCTTTGAAGCTTGAATTTGGGGCTCGGATTTTGGGTTAAGAGAGGGTTTATTCGGGCTTGGAGGGTGTCGAGCTTCGGTCCAGGGAGCGTGTCTGATAAACCTTCTTTTGTGCATTTACGTACATACATGCAAGATCACAGCTGTTGTGGCCCCAGACCCTACATGTTCTTAGCCTAGTCCGACACAATCCAGAATTAGGGCACAATTAGTGTGTTGGGCTTAGTTCAGGCTAATATTTAGGCGGTCAAGATAATTACTGAATCATGTTCCCTTCTGGTCCCTTTGTAGTTATTCCCTGATAACCAAAACCCCATTCTAATTATTCAGGCCCTCTTCCCAGAGACTCCAACCTTAGTTAAGGAATATACCTTAAATTATAATAGGAACCCGAATATGATTTAAGGTATCTTCCTTGTTTAAGGGGTTTTGGAGTCTCTGGGTTGAACCCCGAAACCCTAAACGCTGACCTTGGAACCTGCGGCTTCGGAGGGTGGCCAAGAGAGGGCATGCAAAGGGTACACTGGCAGCAAGCAAGCAACCGTCTGCAGTTTCGAAGCCCGGACCTTGAGCTTACCTCTTCGAGCCCCTAACCCAGACCCTGGGCCCTGGACCCTAGACCCTAAACCTTAGGGTTTAGGGTTAGGGTTTAGGGTTTAGGGTTTAGGGTTTAGGGTTTAGGGTTTAGGGTTTAGGGTTTAGGGTTTAGGGTTTAGGGTTTAGGGTTTAGGGTTTAGGGTTTAGGGTTTAGGGTTTAGGGTTTAGGGTTTAGGGTTTAGGGCCCCTTGACCTCCAAACCGCACAACTCAAGACGGCCAAACGGTGTCCGAGTCGCGTGTCGCAAGGCGTTGACGCTCCACTTGGCGCCGTTCTTTGAGGCGCACCAGCTCTGCCTGGCTTAAGGGGTTTCAGGGGCTCTAAACCCCCAAACCTGCAAACCATAAACCCTAAACCCTAAACCCTAAACTCCGAACCCTAAGCCTAAATGAAGGTTGGTAGATTGCATCACGACCTAGCAAGTTCATTGGCAAGCGCAGAGGATTCGGTACGCTTACTCGCTTTCACTTCTTGTCAAGCCATTTTCTTAAGTCTGAACCCAAGTACAAATTACACTTTCCTAGCGGATGCAATGGAAGGGCAGTGCCTTTCGCGAGCCAACAGCCGCCGCAAGAACTTTCGTGGACGTTTATATCACATCGCATAAAACCTCTACTGTAAGCACCCGATAACCGAAAACGGCAGACGATCAGCCATGGCGGCTTCGTCTGAAGGCTGCGTGCAATACGGGGCTTACATGGCTCGCAGCCTCTACAGATTCTGGCCAAGGCTGACATGCAGTGCATGGCCTTTCGGCAAAGAAAGGCCGAATCAAATTATCTAAGGTTGAGAGGAGTGTCTCGGCTGCGTGATTGAGGTGTAATGCCTTGACACGTTTGTGCTTATTCATTTGCCAGTTCCCGTGCTTTACAACACAAGTGATAGTTCAATTCAATCAAAAATGGTGCCGCACTTCCTGTCTAGGAGCCTATTCGTTCGCAGACCCTGAGCCTGATCAATGCAACACCAGCCCTCGGCGGTGATAGCGATGGGTTGCAGGCAGTAACGTAGAATTCCACTTGCTCTCGCGTGGGCTCCTGAGGCCGGCCATAAAGCAAGCCCGATCGCTCATCCAGCGTTACTCCCAGCGGAAGCCTCGGAACGACGGCAAAAAGGCAGCCTTGCTGGAGGAGAGATAGCGGCGGCCACAACTCTACCATCTGACCAACAGAAACCTCGAGGCTGCATGGGGTATACTTGAAGACGCTCTCGCCGGTGTCCAGAAAAAGGTTCCTGAAGTGGCATCGGGGAGGGCGACGTAGAACTTGAAGCGTGCGGCATCCCCACCACATCAATCTGTAGCACTCGGGACTGGAAGCGGCGCTCGTCGGCTGCTCCATGTTACCGACTTGTGGCGGCACCATCCCGCTGAAGCCCGGGCGCCTGCCTCACCAAAGCTCTTTTGCAAGGATGCTCGGTTGCTGGCTTTAAGGCAGCTGTCGCAGTCGCGACCCACACGGCAGCCCCAATGTGAAAAGGAGTAGTCGGCGCAGGGCAGGGCTTGCAGCTTGCATTTGTGGGGATGTCCGACGCTGCGCACGGTCTCCTCTGGTCCATCAATCACGGAGTAGAGCTGCCTCGGAGCATCTTCTGCAGACTCCATGGAAGCCTTGGCGGACTCTGTGCCAGATCGCTGCTGCTGCCATGCCGGGCCACCGTGCTTGCCTCGCTCTCCTCGCACACTGAGAGCTCACAGCCTGCCATCTCAGGGTTTTATTCAAGCTTGGGCGGCACAAGGGTGGTAAAGGCCTCTTTCAGACTCCCCTTTGCCGGAGGCTCCGCTGCAGTAAAGCTCGTTGTGCTCGAATCCGGGCACACCAACAATCTGTGCTAGCTCTTAGTCGGGAGGGACTTGGGAACCTTACATTCCTGCAAGCCTACCTGACTCCCCAACTCCCGACTAAGAACAAGCACGGGTTTAGCGAATTCTTTCTCGCTTGGGCCAGGGAGAGATGCGCTCAAGCTCCTTGGTGCAACATGGTGCAATGCTCTGAGAGGCGCGGGGTGTCAGTAGCAAGCCCAATGTAACAGCACAAGAGTGGGAACTCAGGAATTTAGGCTAAAACCCTACCCTAAACCCTCAACCCTCAACCCTAAACCCTCGCGGCCCTAGCAAGGGAACAAGTGGGCGTCCCGGCGAATTTTTTACCATGGCTTCAGGGCACAGGGGCCCAAGTGCTTCGTGAAAAGGACCTCTAGCTCCCAGAGGAACACCATCGAAAACAAAACGCAATGGTTCTCATGACTTGGGCGCTGAGCGACTCGACCTGGGTTTCCCACAGCAGCTTCCTCTTCTCAAAGCCCTGCCCAAGCCACAACTTCGGACATAAACGAGGATGTCCCTTAGAATCCTTTGGACAACATTCCTTAAAAAAATAAAATAAATAAATAAATAAATAAAAATATATATATATATATATAATGTATAGATGTACTCCTCTTAAACCCCATAAGGGCAAATATGAAATGTCCCAAGGGCCTGCCTAACCTGTACACCTTGGACAGAACAACAAGACGGCAGGACGTGCAGTTGGGGCTTCGGGTATGGTGCCCATTCATCTCAAAGCTGCAAACCAAGCCCTGTTGGATTTTAGGGTTTAGGGGGAACCCTAAACCCTAAACCCTGAACCCTAAAACCCCATAAGCCCCAAAAACGGCCCTGAGCCCATCGTCAATCTCCTGACTCCCGTCGGAGGCACCTTGAAGACCACGATCTCTTGCTCCAACGCTTGGAGCATCCTCGGCTTTTGCGGTTGGGTTATGAAGGTTTAAGGGGGGAGCGGGGGGGGAAAGGGATCCTTGGGGTTTGGTCCTAGGGTAGGAGCCTTTGGGGTGCTAGCCAGGGAGGCACTAGCTATGGTTACCCTACGTCTAGCACTCTCAGTAGCCATTGGAGGGTTTCCTTTATTGTTGAGTCGAACCCTTGCAGCCTTGTACCCCATTGCTCGCGGCCTGGAAGCCTTTCCACACACCTCCTGGGCTCTTCCCCGGATTCCGCCAAGCGTCTGGGCCTGTTGCTCAATGAGCTGCCACTGCTCCTGCGCCTGGCTCAGGGTTTAGGGTTTAGGGTTTAGGGTTTAGGGCGTAGGGGTTTAGGGTCGGTAGCCGCGCCCTCAATCCTGCCTCAGATCCCTTCAGCCTTCCGCCCCAACACAGCAGCTCGATGTCTTGAACCCCATGCGAGAGAACACAGGAGACATGCAGAGACCTCAAGCCCCGAACCCCGACATCCTGAAGCCTCGAGGGTTTAGGGTTTAGGGTTTAGGGGTTTGCGCCCCCTTCCCACAACATGTGGCACGCTGCGGGCAGACAGTGGCCACTGAGAAGCTGCTGGAGAGGTTGCCAACCAAGCTAGAGGCCGAAGCCCTACAAAGGGTTGTGGGGTTGAGAACGGTAATCCTAAACCCTAAACGCTAAACCCTAAACCCTAAACCCTAAACCAGCCGAGCCTTGTCACGGATGGCAACCATCACAGGGCACTACTCTAGCAGGGTGTACGGGAGGGGGGGGTGAACGGAGTCCATATTCTCAGCCCTTGCACCCCATATTCCTTGTGCAACAATACTCGATCTTCTAATGTGTTCCTTTGAATAACAAAACGTATTCTGCCAGTATAGGCCCCAAACAGTGAAAAGACCGCGAGCGCAGGAGGGCGCAAGGTCACCATGAAGTTGCGCGCTGCAAAAGCCGACTTTCAAGGCACCGGGCATCCGCTGCGTAAGTAACATGCACCATACAGCAGTCGATTTGAAGAGCCCATGGAGATCCAGACATCCCGGGTCTGCGTGCTATGCTTTGTACTACAACAGTCGTGCCCCGAAACTTCGGCCGTCACTCTGCGTCGTATGTTTGCACTGGCTTATACCACGAAAGCCAACGTTTCAGTCACTGGAGCTCCGGACACAATCCTCGTAAAGACGTGAATTTGTGCCACAGAAAAGTCAACTTTGGAGCCCTTAGAGCTCCGGACATCCTCCGCGTCACCTTCTGCTGCTAGTACGAGCGACGACTTGGTGGCGATATATAGGCTGCAAACGATTTGACGGTTTTGCACTTGACAACGAGAATGTGCCTGGGATCGAGGCGAGTTCAGCGACAGCTCTGTACCTGACGACATGCCCACGGGATCGAGGGGAGAATCCCCTCAAAACAAGGACCTGCAATCAGGTAACGCTCGTATCGAAAACCCCCATGTCGAACCCGGAGCCTGCGTGAGACCCGGGCGAGAATGTGACTATTTTGAACTCCGACAGATGCCCCCGGCGGTAGAATCGTTAGATTTCCGTAGTGTTGACACACTTGTGTTAAGGGAACATCTAATCCCTAAGGGGGAGTCTGGAAGCCGGAAGAAACGAAGAAGGGACGCAAGCGATGTGACATGTATCCTATACTCGATAGACCTTCGACTTCATCCCCTTCAACCCCAGACCCTATACTTTATGAACCCTGAACCCTGAACTCTAGACTCTAAACCGTAAATCCTAGACCCTAAACCCTAAACCCTACATAAACCCTAAACCCTAAACCCTAAACCCTAAACCCTAAACCCTAAACCCTAAACCCTAAACCCTAAACCCTAAACCCTAAACCCTAAACCCTAAACCCTAAACCCTAAACCCCAAGCCAACCCAAGGTAGCCCTCACCGAACTGCTCTTTGCCACCGGGCCTTGCCCTGTAAGAGCCTGAGGAGATCAGACACTTCGGGCCGCGGGGCCGCGCCGGATGTCCTGTCTGGGGCTTAGGGTTTAGGGTTTAGGGGTTTATAGGGTTTATAGGGTTTATAGGGTTTATAGGGTTTATAGGGTTTATAGGGTTTATAGGGTTTATAGGGTTTTGGGTTTATAGGGTTTGGGGTTTAGGGTATAGGGTTTAGTGTAGTTTAGGGTTTAGGCCCTAAACTCTAAACTTTACGGTTTGAGGTGGTTTAGGTTAGGGTTAGGGCTAAGGCAGGTTTATCAAGTCTCTCTCTCCCTGATGGCACGGCAGGGCTAGGAAAGATTCGAATCCTGGGTACAGGCGCCAAAGCCCCCTCCAGCATGCCTTGGGATCCTCAACACTCTCTGGTAGGTTTCTTCAGAAACAGGAGAAACGGGAGCCCCATTCAATCGCGCGAGAGAAGAAAGAGGTACGTATTGGGGACGAATCGAGAAGTAACCGTCACCGCGAGGCTCAGCAGACTTAGCGAATGATTTGGGTTTGTCTTCCCAGGGCCGCGCAGTGTGTGGTGGAGACCTGCTCCCATGGTCCATGGTGCCCTCAGAAGCATGCAATCGCAAGCGTCAATCGACCAACATGCTGCAGGCCACGCAGACAACGCCCTCAGAGGAATCGGGAATGAACCGTCACCGCGAGGCTCAGCAGACTTAGCGAATGATTTGGGTTTTGTCTTCCCAGGGCGTCGCAGTGCTTGGTGGAGACATGCTCCCACGGTGCCCTCAAAAGCGTGCAAGCTGCAAGCGTCAATCAACCAACATGCTGCAGGCCACGCAGACAACGCCCTCAGAGGAATCGGGAATGAACCGTCACCGCGAGGCTCAGCAGACTTAGCGAATGACTTGGGTTTGTCCTCCCAGCATAGTTCACCAACCACCCGGCAATTGCATCTCCTAGCAGGGCTCACCCTCAGCCCGGTAAAAAGCAGTTTAGCAATCGAACCGCCTTGAGTGGTCTTACTTAAAGCTGCGTGGATGGCCAAATGTAGGGTAGGACTATTCATAGCCTTATTATCTGGAAATACTTCATACCGCCTCCACACAGACGCTACCAGCTGCCCATGAACCACCAAGTTGAACCTCCAAGTAGGGTTCAGGGGCTTAGGGTTCAGGGTCTCTGAGAGGGTTTCTGAGACCCCCCTCCTAAAGCTTCCCGAAACCCAGGGTTAGGCCCTAAACCCTAAACCCTAAACCCTAAACCCTAAACCCTAAACCCTAAGCCCTAAACCCTAAACCCTAAACCCGAGAGGAGGGCCTGAACAAAGCTTCCAGGAACTCGGAACTGGACTTGGGAAGCGCCAGCAGCATCCAGATCAAGCGCTGCGGCTGCCTTTGGGCACTTCAGCGATGGGCGTCTGGGTTAGGGTTTAGGGTTTAGGGTTTAGGGTTTAGGGTTTAGGGTTTAGGGTTTAGGGTTTAGGGTTTAAGGTTTAGGGTTTAGGGTTTAGGGTACGGGGGAAACCCGAAGGGGGACGAGAAACCGAAAAGTCAACCCCAACAGAATCCCTTGATTTCCCTGGATCAACCACACAACAAACCCAAACCACAGGGCACTCACCTTTTACTACCAGGCACATGGCCCAGTCTTGAGCCATAAAATGATTTCCGGGTTTATTAACCCTTTCAACTTCCAACACTAACTTCTTTCTACAATACCAGTTGCAGCTCCGCACTCCCCCTGTCCTAGGATTTCCTAGGACACATTGGAGATGCAGATCTTTGGTCAAAAACTGCCATTAGGGCAGTAGCCTGCTGCTTGACATGCACATTATGGTTTTACGTCTTCCAGGACGACCCTTCAGCTCATTGGCTGAATCCCTTACCATTGAGGATTTCTTCACCTCGAACTTGAAAAAGTTTACGTTCCAGCGGCCCGTTCCTCACCAAGGA